AGAGTGACTGAGAGAGAGAGAAAATGGGAGGTTTTGGGGGGAACAAAATCCTCCAGAGGGCGGGTTTTAAATCCGGCCTCTCTCCGGTGTCTTCTTGGCTCTGGGGGCAGTGATTCTCTCCTCCAGCCGGAGCTCAGGGCTAGTGCAGAGTACTGCCAGAGAAACTTTGATGATATGGCAGCACAGGGGCGGTGAAAATGCCCCTTTACTCGGCAGTGCCCGTGCGCATTTTTATCGTTTCCTAGTCGGTCCATCAGGAGTCCATAAAACCTTATGCGAGGTTATAATATGGTTTAGCCAACTAGATACTATCTCTTAGTGAAGAATGATTACTGTGGTGATTGTTTTGCCTCTGCTGTCTCCACAGTCCTTTGTTTATAGTTATAGACCTTAATTGAATTTTAAATCGACCTAAGTAAATACAGCCTCTCATTTTTAGCTCCTTGAAGGTAAAGGACGCTGCATTCAGTTATAACTCATAGTTTATTAAAGCGCCTAAAATCCAGAAACTGAACTTGAACCGTACTTACATGACATTTATTTAGCTTTTTACATTTTAATTCATGTTAATAAAAAAAGAAAGAAACCCCCCTTAATACACACGAGCGCGTAAGACAACCTAGCGGATGCGCACTTTTTACACACGCACATTCTCATATGGTCACGCGACTACAGCCACTCCAGCGCGCGCGCGCACGAACAACCTGTGTTTGACCCCTCAATAGGCTGCTCTCACGTACGTCTGAATAAAGCAATCATAGCGCCCCCTGTTGAAAATGTACGAAACATTACAGTGGGAGACTAGTCGATGGTAAACAAACTGTAAAAGTCAGGTTTAGGTCATGAGAGTGTGAATATGGCAAAAAGATCCGTTTTAATTCACCAATAAAAACACGCAGGGAGGCTACAGCTTCCTCATATCACTGCAGACTGCCCACTTGAACGTAGTGTATAGCCTTACATCTTCAAAAACATTAATTGCTTTTATTATGTGGTTCATTTGTTTTTATGGCTCCAGTCCTTTATGCTTTTCTCTTGTACTTTTAGTTTCACATCTATATGTACACAGATGCAAATAGTGTAAAGTTTATAAATTATTTTCTCAACCCGTTACAGTAAAATCTAGTTTAATGTACAAGAACAAATCTTTACATAACATTTTCATCTGGCTTGCACTGCTGTTGTAAAGCATGTTCCTGGCATCAGCTCCACAGAGTATATTCACTACATATTGCAGCTGAAGCTTATAATAAGGCTTGAAGAGATATCAGATGCAGGGACTCTTTTATCCCTCAGGGTTTATTGAACCAACACCATATCTCAGCGAAGATCACTTCACTAAGCTGAAATAGTCTTCCCAGTCCCACAAGATTCCACACGCATCAGATCCAATTTGAAGAAAATAACTGAACTGTGGTGGAGATTAGATAGCGGGGCCTCAGGTGGCTTGAATATCTACTGGTGCTGATGATGGGAGGCTATGCCAGAAGCTCTGTTGGTCTCTGACTGGCATCAGTTATCCTGCCTATTACATACAAACTGCCTTGTGTAAGTGTGAAGAGACACACTCCTATCTTTGTCTTAAATGACTGTTCCCTACAGTATGTGTGAAATTTAAGGCACGATGTCTGCTGAGATGAGTGTGCTGTATTTACACTGTTGCTGTAAACACAGCAGTATAATAACTATCATGTATGAGTATAGGCTCTTTCATTATATTTTGAAAAAAAAAAGAAGTCCCTCACCTTGATCAGTGCTGCAAGTGCTGAACACACAGGACCAAATATTCAGATTAGCAAACAGGAAACAGCTGAGTCAAATCAGTCTTAATTTTACTGTGGCAGTTTCAAACAAAAAGCCCATATACAGTAAAATGATGACAGTGCAGATGGGAAATACTGCCTTGTACAGTAGTTTAAACTATGGAATATGAGATAATAAAGTCAACAAATATAACAAATACTCTTTATCATAACCACTGACCAGTTCACGTATTGCAGCTTTTGAGTGCAAAGTGTATATTATTCAAGCCAAGCATTGCACAGGTGCACAGACTATGTCAGGTATATTTGATAATCATATGATTATGACCAGTATTGATATTTAATAAGCTTTAACATTTAGTTCTTACTCTTACATATTTTAGGCCTCTCGTATAGTGAATATCTCATGGTGAAAGAAAAAAGACAAAAAGGTATCAGGGTGAATTACTGTTATGGTCTGAATATACTGACATGGAAATTTTGTTATTTCACAATTATGGGGATATATTGAAAGGCCCAGACATACATCAAAATGCTGCAAACATCATACTTAGGCCTATGATAATCCATATCATAGCAGACATGACATAAGGATTTAGACAGAAATGGCCGTGGTTTTAGGTTTAGAGTCACCAAGAGTTGCCCACCTCTGCTTTTGTAGATTTTACAGTGGTGTTATCACAGTCCAGGCAGGCTGTATGTTCTCCTGGTGTATTTTTATAATTTCCTGTTGTAGAGGATAACATGTGATCATGTTATATACCTGTCAGAATTTGCTCAAAGGTGTTAGAAGAGAGCGCAGGGTGTAGCATGACGGCTACTGCTGCAGTGGTATAGTCAGTGTTACCCATAAGCAGCGAAGCAGCTCAGCCACAGTCAACAGTAACTGCCTGGCCTTTGCCAACCATCTCAACAAGGAAGCCCTCTGGAGGCTGTGAGGCAGGTGTTCTGCACGTCGTGGGGTGGTGTTTTCGTCATTGCAGGGAGGGTAGTCTCTCATCAGCAGGCTGTGGCTCCCAGATGCACAGCACTAGCTTCAGGTGCACCACCACATGGAAACGGAGCCAAGACGTTCACTGTGGCAAAAGGGCACGGTGAAATGTATTAACACAAAGTCTGAAACAACGTAATAAGGGATGTATTTTAATTCATGTTTGAAGGACAGACATGTTTGACATCTGCTTCTTTAGCTCTATACAGTAAATGACAACTCCAAGGTGGACACAGTTTAGCTATTTTTAGTCATACAAGATAACTATTTTCAGAAATGCAGCTTCCTTATGTACAGTATTGTTCAAAATAATAGCAGTACAATATGACTAACCAGAACAATCCAGGTTTTTAGTATATTTTTTATTGCTACATGGCAAACAAGTTACCAGTAGGTGCAGTAGATTCTCAGAAAGCAAACAAGACCCAGCATTCATGATATGCACGCTCTTAAGGCTGTGCAACTGGGCAATTAGTTGAAAGGGGTGTGTTCAAAAAAATAGCAGTGTCTGCCGTTGACTGTACAAACACAAAACTATGTTGTACAAATGTTTTTGTTTCTAGGATTTAGCAATCCTGTGAATCACTAAACTAATATTTAGTTGTATGACCACAGTTTTTTATAACTGCTTCACATCTGTGTGGCATGGAGTCAACCAACTTGTGGCACCTTTCAGCTGTTATTCCACTCCATGATTCTTTAACAACATTCCACAATTCATTTACATTTCTTGGTTTTGCTTCAGAAACAGCATTTTTGATATCACCCCACAAGTTCTCGATTGGATTAAGGTCCGGGGATTGGGCTGGCCACTCCATAACATTAATTTTGTTGGTTTGGAACCAAGACTTTGCTCGTTTACTAGGGTGTTTGGGGTCATTGTCTTGTTGAAACAACCATTTCAAGGGCATGTCCTCTTCAACAAGTTGTGTCTTAGTCCACCACCCCTATTTAGTGAGGGGTGTTCTATTTTTACAAAAATAGCTTCCTTAACTCCTCTCTCAAACCAGCGATGTTCTCTGGAGAGGATCTGGACTTCACTGTCCTCAAAAGAATGTCCTTTGTCCTTCAGGTGGAGGTGGACTGCTGACTCTGGTCCACTGGAGTTGGCCCTCCTATGTTGGGCCATGCGTTTGTGAAGCGGCTGCTTAGTTTCACCAATGTACAAGTCGTTACACTCCTGACTACACTTAATTGCAGACCCATTGTCAGCAGCATCAACTCTGACTTACAGTATTGTTCAAAATAATAGCAGTACAATGGTCATGTTGGCTTATGCTGAAGAGGACATGCCCTTGAAATGGTTGTTTCAACAAGACAATGACCCCAAACACACTAGTAAACGAGCAAAGTCTTGGTTCCAAACCAACAAAATTAATGTTATGGAGTGGCCAGCCCAATCCCCGGACCTTAATCCAATCGAGAACTTGTGGGGTGATATCAAAAATGCTGTTTCTGAAGCAAAACCAAGAAATGTAAATGAATTGTGGAATGTTGTTAAAGAATCATGGAGTGGAATAACAGCTGAAAGGTGCCACAAGTTGGTTGACCTACTGCACCTACTGGTAACTTGTTTGCCATGTAGCAATAAAAAATATACTAAAAACCTGGATTATTCTGGTTAGTCACATTGTACTGCTATTATTTTGAACAATACTGTACACAGTCTCACATCTGGATAATTCTTAGGTGAGGAAATTTCACTTTGCAGCAATAGCAGGTTTTTGTTCATTTTGCTACACTGTAATATCAAAATATATTCAAATACTTGTCTGCCTCCAAAATAATAAGGCACCAGTGGAAACATTGTATTGGTAGTGTGGATATTCACGAGCTATCTTTAAAGATAAATATCACTGGGATGTATGGTAACAATATGAGCAGAAAAGGCATACACTGTACAAACCAACCAGTAGAAGCTAAAATGTGCTATCACATCAGCAATAAAAGTGAGCAAATAAGACTTAAGTAAAATGTGCTCGTTACATGCTTAAATAAGACAAACCTTGGGTTCATGGCTACGAGCAGGGGTCACATCGCCACCTTGGCTGAGCGATCCCACTCTATTCTGCTGTGCTCCTCGAAGTGTCACCGTTATAGAAGTGGGGGCTTTCTGCCCTACTGACAACACACAAACAAAACTGCTCAGCACTAAAGATAATGCCCAAAACACAGTAAAACAGACTTGAGCATTTTGCTTTGCAACAAACATGTTCTGATGGAGGCATTCACAATGATCTTTTTGCTTTGTGGTTAGGTTAGCAAATTAAAATAGCAGGGTGCTGGACAATGAGCATGATGAGGAATAGCAGCAAATTTGGAAGGTTAGAGAACAGGGGTGTGCAATACAATGGATTTACACTATAACAAAAGAAAAACCAGGAGCAATGAACATGAGTTTGATTGCGTTCTTTATTGTAACAGGAACAGATACTGGGTAATGCCATCTTCTAATAATATAGCTATTCAAAACATCTCTGAAAGAGGTCAGCATTTATATTTATGGATATTATAAGGAGGTGATTTAATGGAAGGCTTTACAAAAGGTTAATACACAAAGAGGCAAACAAAATAAACAAACATGATATGACAAATAGAGCAAACAAGTCTGGCAAACAAAAGCAGTCTGGACTGACCTTTTAGGAATCTTAATAAATTTGGCCAACCTTGCAAACATTGGTTTTAATTTATTCTTCTGTATCTAATGGTTTAATACATTTGTTACATTTCTGCATAAACATTGTGTGTGAACCATAAGCTGGGAACTCAAATCAGTTACCTTACATGTCCCATATGGCTCTTTCTGAACATGAACACAAAACATGTATACCAGTGACTTGGCCCCAGATGCTGTATAGCTGCACATCTGACGCCATAAACACCTGCAAACAATTCTTCCAGGCAAACTATCTACACACATACACACACACCTCAACACAGCTGTCCTCTACTGCAGCAATCGACAGTGACCTACAGACATCCTGACCTAGTGTTTCCAAAACAAAGAATGCGTGAACGCTGGTCATTCAACGTGGCCGTCGCGTTTTGGCAGTTCGAGACATACCAGCGGTCTGACTGGTGATGTGTGCCAAGCCGGGCAAGCTGCTGGCAAGTTTGGCCAGTCCGCCATTGGTGAGCAGCTGGTGGATAGCTGTGGTTTTAGCCATTCCTCCTGTGGTGACCACGGGCACTGCTCGGAGCAGAGTACTGCTGCTGGTACCAATAGAGCTCAGGACCTGACCCTGGGGCTTGCCACAAACTACCTAAGGGTGGGGAAGAAGACAAACAGCTCAAGGTTTCCTCATATGTGCACAACAGCAGATGGAGGATGAATTTCATCCTTCCCATCAGTGAGCTTTGTTACTGCACTCTGTACATTTCCCTGTTTTGCACTGAACATACTTCTCTGGATTTAGCCCTCCATCACTTACACTTGCTTTAGGTGAGGATATCTTAATTGCCATTACCGACACACTGAATGGATTCTAAACAAGCAAACTTTCATTATGGGCCTTTAAACTTTTATGTAGTGAACCATGTAACCGGGAGGTACCTGGGTGTTGCTTGTGTTGGCTGCTGTAGAGGACACACTAGGAGCTTTGGTGACGATCTCCTGGAGACTGAAACTTAAGCCTTGTAGCAGACTGCGGGCGGAAGCTGCTGCAAACAAACACAGGCAGGGAATCAATGGAGCTGACGTTTAGGTGAAATCAATGCTAAGGAAATATTAACACCACTCCCACTTTTACAAACTGCTCCCACCCACTACCCCCAAAACATTAACTATATGGACACACAAACACACCACATGAAAGTCATGTCCAAAGGGCAAGGTTCAGGACGACGACGACACAAAGCGATGGCGCAAGAGGTGATCAATGATGATGTTTGCTTGATTATGTTGTCTTCACACACTGTTCTCATCCAGTATTCAAAACAATCTCACTCTACAAAGGGGATAGAACTGTGTGCTGGGGCTACTGTGCTGAGATTGGCTGCACAGAGAGTGCAAACAGGCGTGCAGGGCAGGATAGAACAGATACCTTGGGCAGTAGCCGGAGCTTGCGCCTGGACTGCTGTGGAGGACCCTGACACCATGCAAGGTTGCACGCTGTTGAATGAGCTGGAGCCTAGGGACAGGGCACCAGACACCTCTGAGAGACTACCAGACCTGCGGTGACACACATAACCACCAATCTACTCAGGAGCTACCCCAGCAAGTGCTGTTTAGCCATCACTCAGCTCCCAAACTCTGAGTACACCACTCAATCCCTGTTCAGACACACTCCAATAGGACAGGAGTGGGTGTAGGCATTATTAGGGGTTTAAGCACTCTACATGTTGTAAATCCCAATTCCCTTATTTTATCATTCCTCGCTCCTTGACCTTTGTTCAACCCAGAAGTCTTTTAGGTCCACCATCTTGAAGGTTTCCCCAAAACTAATGCATTATATTTGCTCTGAGGAGCAAGGATCAAGGAGCGAGAAGGCTGCCTGGAGGAGACATGAGAGCATCCTTTGCCAAGTCTTTTATGGCAAGACACTTCAAAAGAAAGGTTGTCTCGTGTCACTTGAATGCATTTCCTCAATTCCTCTCTCCTTGTATTTTCTCCTCGCATGTTTTCCTCACATTTTACGTGGGCAGGACTAATATAAGGAAAAGATGCAAGTGAGAGAAATGTGGATGTAATTAAGGGAATTGAGTTTTACCCACTGAATGTGCCTGTGTGTAGTAAGGGTGGTTATCTTACCGCTGGGCTGTAAGAAGTCCAGAGAGCTCCTTGGCCCCAGCCACATTCTGTCCCACTGTTACTGTTAAGGGCTTGCCAGAGACACCCACTGCATGTAAACAAGAGAATATTACAAAAGACACTTCAAATGATCGTCTTTGGGGAAAAAAGCTGAACCCCTCCAACAATTATCAAGCACTGGATAAGTGAAGTCAAGTCATTTCTTTCTTTTAATGACTTTGAGATTGCAATTCATGCTTTTATAACTTCTACACTTGACTACTGTAATGCATTATACCTTGGTGTTAATCAGTCATCTCTCTCTCTCGTCTTCAAATGGTCCAAAATGCTGCGGCGTGTCTTTTAACAGGTACCAGGAAATTTGACCATATAACCCCAGTACTGGCCTCTCTTCACTGGCTTCCAGTCCATTTCAGAATTCATTTTAAGCTATTCATTTTTGTTTTTAAGGCTCTTAATGGTTTGGCACCGCCCTACCTCGCTGAGTTGGTGAGGTGGCACGAACCTACAAGATTGCTCAGATCATCAAGCCAGTTTCTTTTAGAGGTTCCCAGGGCCAGATACAAACACTGGGGTGACCGTGCTTTTATTGTTGCAGCTCCTAAATTGTGGAATGGTTTACCTTTTAATGTTAGATCATCTACAGACTTGACAACTTCTAAATCATTGGTTAAAACATATTTATTAACTTTGGCTTTTAATACATAGTATTGTCTGATGCTTCCTCCTTTTATCTGTTGATTCTGTGTAGTTCATGTGTTTATGTTCCTATGTTTTATTCCTCTATTGATATTATTTATTTCAGTTCTTACCTTGCCCTTGTAAAGTACTTTGGTCAACCAGATGTTTTTAAAGTGCTATGTAAATACATTTTGATTTGATTTGATATTTTTTCAGGAGTAAGAGATTTTGAAAAATACTTTCAATTTAGCAATACTGCATAGCAGACTAGTACATGTTTCTCTTTATATCCTTCCATCTTCAAAGAAAAAGAAAACAAAAAATTTGATTTTTCCATCCCGTCTGCCTAGTACTGGTTTTATCAATCCACAAGACAACAAAGAACAGCATCCATTTACTCTGATCATACTATCAAAGCAGCCCAGGAATGTTCTCTCAATGTTTAAAGAAAACACAATGAATGCTCCAAAATATATATAAATAATCATCGATCACAGAGTTTCATATGGAAGTAATGTAAAAACACAGATATGTACCTTCCTGTGCAACAGGGCTGATGGCGCCCCCTGGTGTCTCGCTTTGGGAAACAATGGTGACCTTGATCTTGGCTCTTTTGGTGGCTTTGCATGGTGTAGGACTAGGCGTCTGCCTTCTCTTGCCATGGGACCTCAGTTCATCTCTGTCAAGACCCTCCATCTGATCACTTGTCACTGGCACTGTGCCACACAGACACACACAATAACAACACTGGTACTGAGCAGACGTCTGAGATATCATAAACCTGGGCTGATTTATCTTTATGCAGTCCTACCACTGAGTTTAATAGTTACATTTTTATGCAACTTTATATTGTATGTAATATACAACTGCTTTAAAAACTGATATTATAAGAAGAAAGATAAAGTTTGAAGCATGATGATGGGTGCAGTGTGATATTTTAGTATGCAGTATTAAAAAAAAACTGCACTGGAAAAAAGTGTGAAAAGAGACAGGAAACAGAAAGGAAGAGGGAGAGATACTTACCAAAAATACAAGGAGGGGTACCAGGAGGAAGATTTTTCCTCACAAGCATGTTTTGTTTCATAAAAGCAGCAAACTGAGCTAGAATGAATTGGGGAAAAAAAATCCAGAAAGAATAGTATTAGGAAGTGAAGAGACGAAAGAATGAGAGAAGAGTATTTCAGCCACGTTCCGCCTCGCTTCATCAGATGTTGACGTGATAAATGTATTTACAATAACCCTCACAGCTCACCCTCATACCATGTCGCCTGCCCAGCTCTTGCAAAATTCTACACAAGTTGAGGTGAATAGTTCAGTTCAATATTACATAAGCAAGTGGGAGAATGTGAGAGCTGCGTACACACAGGTACCGAAAGGCCACTGCACACGGGTCGGGGAACCTGACTGCTCAGTGTGTTGTCAAAGCTTCCAGAGTTGAATGTGGTAGTGAACTAACCTTGAGCCTGCTTGTGAGTGAGTACTGTGCCAGAGCGCTGCATGTGTGTCTTGAGGAGCTGTGTAGCTGTGATCAGACTGGACTTCTGTGCTGGAGACAAACCAGATGTCTTGGGTTTGGGGCTTGAAGTGGGACTGCTGCAGACACTAGACAGATCCTGAGGACACGAGAAACCACTCATGTCAATGCTATATATTAGAATTCCTTTCAAATTCAGCATTCACAATTTTAGACTATCATAAAGAAGTAATAAAATAAAACCAAAAAAGATTACATAGCTGGATCACTGTGCAGTGACCCAAAGACAGAAAAAAACAGACTAAATAATATCTTCGTTTGAGACATTTTGACATGACATGAAATTGGTTTGACCAACTGGTATCACACCAAAGCCAAGACTACCAAAATTCATCACACAAAAAAGTCACTTTGCATATTTTAATCCAGAATTCCAGACCAAATTAAAATCTGCCATTAACAAAACTTGTCCCGCTGACACCCTGATGTTCCGAAATTTTTTAAATAGATAAGAAAATGTCATGTGAGCTCCTTTAGAGCAAGACTCTAACTTTAAGAACACTACCATTTCTCTTATTTTCTATAATTTATTAAATGATTGACAAGCTAGTAGAAAACTTTCCAGGTTTTGTGGATACAAAGCAAATGTATTCATTATTATTTCATGCATGGCTCAAATATCATTAAAAGTACACAAAAAATCTGATGCAGCTTTAGTGGTTCATCTGAAAATAAGTGAAAATAAGTGTCACTTCAGAGCCTTTGAAAAGTGTTGCAATTGCAGCTGCTGTTAACCGACCTCTGAACCTGATGGTGAAATAGGAATTCTAAGTGCCGGGGAGGAAGGTCGCCCTCTCTCCATGTCAAAGGGAAGCTCCCGTCGAGGCCTTTTCTTCTTCTCTGTGTCCAGATCTCTCATTTCCCCAGAGCCATGACCATGCCCCTCTGCCCTTGTGAGGACACCCGACAAGAAGTCAGCTATCTCATCCTGCAGGAGGAAAGAAGCCTTTACCATCAACGTGATAGTTTTTTTTTTTTTTTTTTTTAAATGCACTGCAGAGAATTTAATACTTCCAAATAAATATACTACAAAGACCAACCTGAATGCAGCGATCCACCATGGTCTGTGTCAGTCCCTCTGATTTCATCTTCGCAGAATTGATTCTGTGGAAACCACATATTGTTGCTAGAGAAGCTTTTAAAATTCTTGTACTCAGTTACTACTTAAGCTTCCAATCAGAAGTTATGACTGACCTGAGGTTGTCGTCTGCTCCCCCCACCACAACCATGCTGTTGTCTGCCCTCAGCTTCTCTCTGAACTCCTCCATGCCTTCTATACTACACTGCAGAGCATTCTGGCCGACCACAAACAACACTGGGGTCTTCATGTCCAGTAGCGGGTCATCCACATCCTACAAATCAGCAAGACAACAATTGTCACAGACAAGTTCAAAGTTCCTTAAAAAAAAAGAAAGAATACAAGTATTAACATGAAGGAAAGAGGCATTTCAATAGGCGATAAAGTTTTAGGTCTTACCCCTCTTGGCCCGTTTACTGTTAGCAGAGGGAACCCGAGACACACCACAGCAGTCAAATACTCCATAAGGGATACCTGTAATGAATCAGTATTAAACTAACTAATGATGCTCTGAAGAAAAAAAAAATCCTTTGCACTTTTTCAAAGATGACAATCATTTAGCCCTTTAGTCTTACATGACAAGCGATGAGAGCGCCAGCATTCCATCCGACCAGGACAATGGGTTTGTGGGGGAAGTGACTGTGAACCTGGTGGTTCAATTTATAACACATAATCAATACAGTGGCAGGCACATTGTTGTATCAAATTTAACATAAAGAATCTGTATTCTACATGGGTCTATTTTTTTAGTTTGCCTTTATAGACATTACTGTCACAGACATGATCAAATGTTAAGACTGTTCATTTTTGCATAATTAATTTCAAAAACATTGTAACCTGGTTAAATGCGCACATACTGAGCACTACTGTATTAATAATGCACACATATGCACCAAATGTGTCAGTTTACAACAGTGACTTTATCCTGACCTGATGAAAGAAAATGTTAGTCTCGTAAAGCCACACTGGTGAGTCAACATAAATAAAATTATTACTTCCAAGTTTTACACATCTAAGCAAGTGTCTAATACAGGGGTGCCCAAACTTTTCCCCTCAGAGGGCCAAAATGAAAATGCGTTACTGGGCCGAGGGCCGGGTGGGTGGCGGCGGCGGGGATATGTGTTTATTATAAAGGTATTTAACATTTCACTCTTTGTACAAAGAACAAGAAGCAAATACAAAGCAAATGAATCTTTATTTAACCACAAATTATGTCCATATTAACAGCCAACAGCAGCAGTTTGACACTATTAGTGAGACACATGAAGCTGGTCTTTGGCTTTGACCAGCCTCTCAATGTCAGGCTGAAGCTGTGTAAACTGAGAGGGTGAGAAGGTCCTGCAGGTGTAGATCAGTCAGAGTGCTTCTGAGCCTGGTTTTGTTAAGGTTCATTACACTGAAAGTCTGTTCACAAATGTAGGTGCTGCCAAACAGAGATAACATCACCTGTGCATGCTTCCTAATGTTCGGGTACCGTTCTGGTGAGACGTGTGTGTAGAAGTCCTTCAGTTTCAGTGACATGAATTTATTCCTCAGCTCTGAATCGCACTAAAACTCAATCAGGGACACAGTCCACACTTGTGCTGAAGGGTTGGGAAAACAGCTCCATGTCACCTGAATTCTTCCTGAAGTCCTGAAAGCGCATTTCAAACTCCAGGTCTAGGTTGCTGACAAGTGTTGCATATTCAGACAGTTTCTGTTGTACCAGGTTTACCTCTCTCAGACTGGGGAAGTGAGCCAGGTTTCCTGAAAAGAAGTAAAAAGTAATTAATAATTATCAATGCAATAAATATTGCAATTTTCACTCACTAGTAATGTCATATTCCACATATCATACAACTGACAGTTCTGTTCCTCCGCATCACATGATCACATTACCATTAAAATTATGTATTTTGTGCAAGGCATTAACTCACCTGCTGACAGATGTCGACACAGTAGCTGCAGTTTTCTCTGAAAGGCCTTTATGTGGTCAAACATCTCCGTAATAATTAGCTGAGAGGCTGATCTGGGAGAAAGCTCTTGCCTGAGCGGGACACACTAGCTTTGCAGCCG